GGACTTGTTGATAGAGCAAATTATTGCTATCTGCTTTCCCAATAATAACAAACATGTGTCTGATTATGAGTTCTCGGGAAGGAAAGGTGACCATTATGAGAATGGAAGAGAACAGTAGAGCATCCAAATTGACATGGGAAAACACAGAACAAGCAAACTAGTATGAACCCTAGAGAGAAAAGAACCCAACTGGACCAAAAAGGGGAATCAAAAGCAAAATTACAAAGCACCTATAAGGCAATAAAGAGAACACTTCATGGTAAAATCTATGGGACTTAGCAACAGCCATACTTGAAAATGTACACCATAAAATCACTGTAGATGGTGACTGCAGCCATGAAATTAAAAGACACTTGCTTCTTGGAAGAAAAGTTATGACCAACTTAGAGTATTAAGAAGCAGAGACATCACTTTGCCAACAAAGGTCCATCTAGTCAAAGCTGTGGTTCATCCAGTGGTCATGTATGGATGTGAGAGTTGGACCATAAAGAAGGCTGAGCACTGAAGAACTGATGCTTTTGAACTGTGGTGTTGGAGAAGACTCTTGACAGTCCCTTGGACAGCAAGATCAAACCAGTCAATCCTAAAGGAAATCAGTCCTGAATATTCATTGAAGAACTGATGCTGAAGCTCCAATACTTTGGCCACCTGATTCGAAGAGCCGACTCACTAGAAAAGACTCTGACACTGGGAAAGATTGAAGGCTGGAAGCAGAAGGGGATGACAGAGGACAAGATGGTTGGATGGCATCACCAACTCAATGGACATGAGTTTGAGCAAGCTCCGGGAGATAGTGAAGGACAAGGAAGCCTGGTGTGCTGCAGTCCATAGGGTTGCAATGAGTCAGACACAACTGAGCAACTGAAGAATAACAACAACTACATCCCCTGTTAATGAAAACAGACATAAAACAATTAAAAACTCACCTTAAGAAACTTTAAAAGCATAGTGAAATAAACCTAAAGAAGCAAAGAAGAGTGAATCAGTAAAGATAAAAAACAAATTTAAAAATAGTAGAAGGGATAAATTCAAATGCTAATTTCCTTGAAAAGAGCAGCAAAATAGATAAACTTGTTTACAGCCTGATTAAGAGCAAGAAAAATTAAGAATTGGAATGAGAAATAAAACATAACAACAGAATCAGAAGAGATGAAAATAATTAGAGACCATTTCACTCAGCTTTAGGGTAGGATATTGAAAAATCTAGATGAAATGATCTTTTAGCAAAATATAAATTACCAAAATTGTGTGCACCAGCCAGATGTGTATAAAACAACCCGATTCTGGGGGTACAAGATCTCAGGAAGATGCTAGAGAGCAATTATTTAGATATAATGTGAAGTACCATTCTCTGGCAAACATTTCAAATGGGAATCACTAAAATACTTAACTAGGGAGAATTCTCTGGTGGTCCAATGGTTAGGAGTCTGGTGCTTTCACGGCCTGAACCGAATGCCATCCCTGGTGGGGGAACTAAGATTCCACAAGCTCAGTGAGGTGTGGCCAAACCTGCCACCCTCCCCTCCCCGCAAAACACTTAACTAGAAACCATTCACCAATTCAAAACAGGTACTTTGACCAAGCAAAATATAATTTAACCTGAATTTTTCCTATACTGACTAGTTTATGGCTATATCTAGAGTGGAAAGAAAAGAAAGGAAATTACACATACTATGCTCTTGTGATGACTATAGTTTTCAACAACCAACACAAAACTAGAAAATTATAAACATGCACGTTCAAACATTTATTGAAAAAAATTATATATGTAAATCTAGGCCTGGGCTACAGGTGAGGGGATACAAAAACATAGCTCCCTGCTTTCAAAAAGCTAAATGTGTAGGAAGTGTAAAGAAAACAAGAGAATATACATAAACGATTTACAGTGTAATAATGGCTTCTTGTAAGCTCTGAGGCCGGAGAAACAAAGGACTTTGGTTTGTTCATTCCAACAAGCCAGGCTTCAGTGCTTGAATTTTTCTTACAATGAACAATGTGGGGAAAAAAGTGCCAAGGCATTTTTCTTTAAAGAATTGAGTGTGTGTTCATCAGAACCTGTCAGACATGTCCATGTTTAAAGAAAAAAGTTATTTTAAGTGATAGGGACTCTGAAAGCTGCAGGGGATAAAGACAACCTGAGATAAGAGTTAGGACAACGAATTAGCTGTTTAGGGACAGTAATTAGACCAGGCCTCAAACTAGAAGCTTTCATGAAGTGAGAGACAAGTCAGTATGAGAGAGCATATTAAATGCCAAGTCAAGAACTTTCACTGTAGTAAAACAAGCAGCCACTGGCTCCTTTTTGAATGTGAGTTTGCATTTGTTTGTGTGTGAGATGATAAAAGCAGTATTTGAAGAAAATCAAGTAGTGGTGTACATCATGGATTAAAAAGGTGAACAGTTCCATGACAACTAGAACAGTAATGGAAGACCAAGGCTCAGAGAAGCCTTGTTCACTTTCACCCTCAGGATCTCAAGGTGCTGCCAGATTTGATCCAGAGATTCTTTATGCTAAAAGGAAAGAAAGCACATTGGGGGTGGATGGGTGGGTGGGTACAGTCTCCTTGATCACACATCCAAAAAATGCATGGATACCCTTTGGAGGTAATCAGGAGAAATCATTATACCCAAGATTCTAATAAAACTCCAGAGACAGACAAACCAGTCCTTCCAAATTTGTCCCCAGTTGTTTAAGGTCTTCTTTACAATAGGCTTAACTCATGCACATGGCTGACCAGAATTTTAGGTCTTCTAATCTTCTCAACTTCAGACATAGGAAGAAAGTTCTTCCAAATCTTTATTTCATCAGAGATTCAGAAACTGAAATGAGAAATGGTTTGTACTGTAGCTGCAGCCAAGAGACATCAACATATTTACCAGCTCTATTTTCAACATTCTCAACTGCTACATTCAAACCCATCCTGCTTTAGTGAGGAAATGAGTTGAAGAAAAGAAGCCAAATAAGGAGTAGATTTAATGACCAATGTCACTAGTGTGTTTGGTAGATTTGATAGTGTGTTGGGAGAGGGACCTCAATGGCATGAGGAAGAGAGTTTTTGGCTGCACCATGTGGCTTGTGGGGATCAGGAATCGAACCCGAGCCCAAGGCAGTGAAAGAACCGAGTCTTAACCACTGGACTTCCAGGGGATTCCCCAGCAGCCAGCTTTCAGGGATGGTGTGGATGGGCTTCTCCACTTTAAGACATCCCACTACTGTTTAGGATGCCCTTGTGGAGGAGCCCTAGGCCCCAGTGCTTTGAACTTTAAGGGGTCATCTTCTTTATACTAGCCACAACACAGCAGGGTATTCTTACACATCTTTTATTTTGCTTGTAAATACTTCATCTTCCGTTTAGAAATGGTTAAAGCTCTAGATGCCCTTCTGTGTGTCAACAGTAGATTTCAGTTTTCTCATTTAAAGCTCACAATTACACCAGGAGGTAGATTATTTTAATACCATTTTATTAGTGAGGAAAATAAGGATCAGAAGGGTTACATAATTTGTTCCAGGTCCTGAGGCCAACATGTCCTACTGGGATTCAAACCCACATCCGTGTCCCCTCCATTACACCACACTGCTTCTCCTGAAATAGTTCATCAAACTAGTTTTCTATCAGACTCTGGGTTCCCATTTGGGATGCACTGCCACTACCCATATCACACTGAAATGCTTCCTTAAATGGCCCCCGGTAACTGGTGTTCTAAATATCCAAGGGCAGGGCTTCTCAACCAGGGCGCTGTTGACACTTAGGGTCAGATAATTCTTTTTTGGAGGTAGAGCGAACTGTGTATTGTAAGATATTTAGCAACATTACTGCTTTTTAGATGCCAATATTTCCTTCCCAGTTGTGACAACCAAAATGTCTCTGGAACATTGCCTAATGCCCTCTGGGAAGCAAAAATCACCCTGGTTGAGAACCACTGCTCCCCTCTGTGCGTCTCACAAGCTGTTCCCACTGAGGAAAGATATAGGTTGAAATTCTCACCTTACATTGTCCCATTCGGTAACTTTCTTGTCTGCTGATATGGGTAAGTTCATATACAATCTACCAGTAGTTCATGGTACAAGAAATATTTGACAATTGTGCTTGACTGTGCAGATAGGCAGGACCTAATTACCAATATCAGTTTTCAGATTAAAGATGACTGATCTCTTTCAGAGTTCTGCTTAGAGTCTCCAATTCTCAAATAATTACAAAGCTCTGGTTCAAGACAAAATCACTCTCCTCTAATCACTTCACCCTTCAAATTTGTTGCTTTAATTCCTACCAACTCAGGTCACCTAAATGCCCTGCCCTGGCACTCAGTCTAGTCCTATTTCCTATACCCACTGTCCTTTCCTTTGCTCTTTCATTTCCTGATACTACTAGTCATTATCATTCTTTCTCTGGGGAACACTTCACTTGGCTCTTGTATCCTGGCCTTCAGCTTTCCTGTTGTCAAGTCATTTCTATTAGTTTTTGTTTCCTCTTAATTAATGGTTCATCCTAATTAGTATTATCACATATGCATAAGCATATTTTATAAGGAGATAAAAGGGGAATATGTATAAAATATACATCTAACAGAAGAACTCATCCCAGAGAGATTTAATCACTCTAAAATACTTAAAGTAGATTTATACTTGTCACTAGATTATGTAGTCAAGATTGAAATGGATCCTTCCATGAAGAAATTAGTTCGGGGGTTGTTGGCACAGTGATTTCTAATGATGTTAACAACAGTGGAAGTCCCCTGAAACATTCTCAAGTAATTGTATCCTCTGGATTGTATGCCAGTTTCAGATCTGAAGCAGAGAAAAGGTGATTATGTCCAAGAGCTTGCCCACATTACTCTTACATGTTTTCCATCCATTAGGGCTCTTCGAATGTTTTCCTACTTTCAAATGGTTTTCAGCAATAAAAACCCTTTACTGTGCAATTAGACGTGGTCTCCATCAAGCTTTTCCTACACTCATTAGGTTTCTGTTTCCTATTAGAGTAAGTCATATTTAAGGACACTCTTGTGTTCCCCAAACTCCTTTCCAGTGTGAAGTTTCTGATGATCAAGAAAAGCTGTGTGCCTGCTGAAGGCCTTCCCACAGTGGCTACATTCAAAGGCTTTCTCTCCAGTGTGAATTCTTTGGTGACTAATAAGGTGTGAGTTCTGGCAGAAGGCCTTCTCACACTCAGGGCATTCATAAGGTTTCTTGCCAGTGTGAACACGGTGGTGTTTAATGAGATCTGAGCTGTCTCTAAAAGATTTCCCACATTTATTACACACATAAGGTTTTTCTACACTATGAATTCTGCGATGTTTCATAAGGTCTGAGCTCTGATTGAAAGTTTTCCCACATTCCTTACATTCATAGGGTTTCTCTCCTGAGTGAGTTACCTGATGTCAGGTGAGGTCTGAGCTGCCTCGAAAAGTTCTACCACACTGACTGCACTGATAAGCTTTCTCTTCTTGGTGAATTCTCTGCTCTTCTCTAAGTAATTTTTCCTTGCTGAATGTTTTCCCAACTTCCTTAAGTTTCCCTCCAGTATGAAGTCTCTGATGCTTGAGAAAAGCTGTGCGCCAGATGAAGGCTTTTTTGCATTCCTTACATTCATAAGGTTTCTCACCACTGTGGATTCTGTGATGCTGGATGAGGAGCAAATGTTGCCGGAAGGCTTTCCCACATTCATTGCACTGATAGGGTTTCTCTACAGTGTGAATTTTCTGATGTGTCATGAGGTGCAACCTCTGGCTAAAGGCTTTCCCACATTCACTGCATTCATAGGTTTTCTCTCCAGTGTGAGTTATCCAATGCCGAATTAGATCTGAACTTCCCCGGAAAGATTTTCCACACTTAGTACATTCATAAGATTTTTCTTCCCTGTGCATTCTCTGTTGTTGGATAAGATCCAAGTTAGAAGTACAGGCTTTTTCACATTCAAGTTCCTTTCCAGTGTGTAGCCTCTGATGTTTCAGAAAGGCCATGCGTCCACTGAAGGATTTCCCACATTTGCAACATTCATAGAGTCTCTCCCCATTGTGGAGTCTCTGGTGTTCAGTGAGGTGGGAACGCTGCCTAAAGGTCTTTTCACAGTTGCTGCACTTGAAGGGTTTCTCTACAGTATGAAGTCTCTGATGTGCGACCAGGTGTGAGCTTTGACTGAAAGTCTGTCCACATTCATAACATTCATATGGTTTCTCTCCAGTGTGAGTTCTGTGATGAATAATAAGATCTGAGCTTTGATTGAAGGCCTTCCCACATTCATTGCATACATATGGCTTTTCTCCAGTGTGAATTCTCTGGTGCAGGACAAGGTTTGATCTCCCCTTGAAGGCCTTCCCACACTCTTTACATTCATAGGGATTCTCACCATTATGAATTCTCTTATGTCGAACCAGGTTGGAGCTCTGATTGAAGTCTCTTCCACATTCATGACATATATAAGGTTTCTTTCCTGTATGAATTCTCTGATGTATAATAAGATTTGAACTTTGATTAAAGTCTTTTCCACATGCACTACATACATATGGTTTCTTTCCTGTATGAATTCTCTGATGTATAATCAGGTTTGAGCTTCGATTGAAAGTTTTTCCACATTACTTACATTCATAGGTTTTCTTTACATTATCAATTTTCTGATGTTCAGTTATTTCTGACTTCTGTTTGAAGCTCTGACCACAGTTTTCATATCTGTGGGATCTTTCTTCTGCAGAAAGGAATTTATCTCTTCCCTTACATCCATGGCCTTTCTCTCCTGCAATGGTTTTTTTGGGGATCACATTCACTTCCCTGATACCTCTCTCTTGGGAAGAGGGATGTCTCACTGCATCATCTAAGGAGCTTACCCAATACCTCAATAACCTGTCCTCAGGATCATTGATTTCAAATAACCTATATTCCTGGGAGATTTGTCTTTGGAGTCTTTCTGATACAGTCCTTGCTGAATTTTTTTCTTCTGAAATTACCATCTTTGACTTCCAATCTTTTATCTTACTCCTGGTCTCAGAATCTGAAATGATAAGCAGACCATTCTATAATTCATAAAACACAAATTTCACCTCTTTCCTACACCAGAAAGTCTTAGAGGGAGGTAGAGGGAAGAACAAGGAACTTAGAAGAAGACTCTTCCCTGCTGGCACTGAGATTTAGACATTTTTCAGAGGGATTGTGGCTATCACAGGAATACACACTCTATTGATGGAGAAGAAACCTACTGGGGTGCTGGCTGGAGCTGGTGTGTAGGAGTGGCCTGCAGGGTGGTGGAGGAATTCACTGGAGGAGGTGGGCAGTCTGGAGCTGGAAGTGGCCTGTTTGATGGGGTAGGAACCTGCTGGGCCCTGTGTCCAGGCCAGAATGGGTTCACAGGAAACAACCACTAGGGTGAGTGCCACTCACCCTAGCTGATCTGTTGGCAACCACACCAATAAATAAACAGCACACCAGCACCAGCAAGAGAAGTTCCTTCCTTTTCCTATGGCCTTGCATTTCCCTCCAGCAACCTCTGTTGACAAAATATAAGTCTTGTACCAGCTGGCAAAGGAGATGGTTCAGATCTAGTAACATAAGCAAAGCAAAGAAGAATAGATTTCGAATTGAGATATGATATACTAATAACTGGTACACTAACACTGCTATATTTAAAATGGATAACAAACAAAGACCTATTGTATAGCACATGGAACTCTGCTCAATGTTATGTGCCAGACTGGATTGGAGAGGGGTTTGGGGGAGAATGGATACATGCATATATATGGCTCACTCCCTTCACTGTTTACATGAAACTACCACAACATTGTTAATTGGCTATACCCCAATATAAAATAAAAAGTTTCAAGTTACAAAAAAAAAAAAACAAAACAAAACAACTGGGTAGTGGGAGTGAAAGAGTGGGGGTGAGGGGGAGGAGCTGGTGAATTCCACTTCAGACATGTCATATTTGCCTTACCTGTGAGGTATCCAGGAGGAAACTTCTGAGAAGCCAATGGATCAGCAGGTCAGGAACCCAGGAGGAAAATCTAGAATGGACATACAGATTTTGGAATCATCAGTATATAAATAGTATCTAAAGCAGAAAAGTGACCCTGGTGATTACAAGTTAGAGGCAGCTTAGGGTTCTGAAAAGAACAGGGCTTAGAAGCCAGCAGAGCCAAGTTAGAGTCCCAGCTTCTTCATCTCCCCCAACCATCATTTCTGCAAATGTAAAAGAGAAATATCACTTACTCCAAAGTGTTATTGTACACATTAAAAACAAACAAACAAAACCACCCTGGGAATTCCTTGACGGTCCAGTGGTTAGGACTTGGCACTTTCACAGCTGTAGCCTGGTTGAGGAACCAAGATCCTGTAAGCTGCATGGCAAAGTAAAAACCAAAAAACCTACCCCAATGTACAGAAAGCCACACATCACTACAGTATAAGCCTCCCAAGAGTGTAAGCTCCATGGGGGTGGGGGTCTTTATTTTGTGCAGTGTTGGACCACTACCTGGACCATAGTGGGTGCTCAATTAAAAAATCATTGAATAAGTGAATAGTAGGTTATCTCTCTTCCCACTTCCCCTTGACTAAATAATTCCTGAAATTCTTGTCTCCATTGGCTTCCATAATGCACGATACTCCACCCACTCTACTTTTTTATTGTCTTTACCCTTTCAGCTTTTCCAGCCATTAAATGTTGGTGTTACTAAGGCTCAGCCCCTAGTCCTCTCCTTTTATATTCTGTATCTCAATGACCATATCAACTCTGGCTTCAGTGATCACCTTTGTCTAAAATGAATCATAAATCTAAAACTCCAACTCCTCACTTACACTGTAGCCTATATTCACAATTCACGTCCAGACCAGTGTCTTACTGCCAGTCAAGAAGAATCAAATGCATAAAAATGAACTCATCATTTTGCTTCTAAATGTATTCCCCCTTCTTACAGCTGTTTCTGCCCAATCAGTTTTCATTGAATAAATATTTAATGTGCCTACAGTGAGCCTACAGTGTCCAGGCACTTTCTAGGCCCTGGGATACTCTGGTGAAGAAGCCCCTAATGGGCCTTGTACTGTTTTAAGCCAGAAACACAGTAGTTTACCAAAAATGCTATCCATAGAGCAGCAACATCGGCCTCACCCAGAAGCTTGGTAAAATGCAAATTCTGAAGCATTGCCAAGACCCACTGAATCAGTCAGTCGGGGAGGGGCCCAGCAATCTGTCCTCACCCAGCTCACAGATGCAGGTGATTCCTTAACTTTGCTACAATCTGAGCAGCACTGCTGTAGTCATCTTGGACTTCTCCCCCTCTATCCCTTCTGTCTGTATATTTTACCTAATTCTGAAAACTGCTCCAACTCCATCTTAACTCAAAATGTTCTCACTCCATGCTTGAACTCTTGTAAAATCTCTAAACATGTTTTCTGGCTCCAATCAGTGCTGAGAACACTGTCAAATGAAATAATTTTCTAAGGCACGGCTAACATCAATAATCAAAAATTTATCATGATTTCTTCTATCACCCATTAAAGGACAAAATAGCTTCTTGTTGACTCACAGAGCTGAATTATATCCTAGGGCTGCCATGACAAAGTCCCATGAACCAGGTGACTTAAAACAACAGGAATTTATTCTCTTACAGTTCTGAAAGTTAGAAGTCTGAAAGGAAGGTGTTGGCTGGGTGCCTTCCTCCTGCAGGATCCTAAGGATAACTAGTCCAGGTCTCTCTCCTAGCTTCTGGTGACAGCAGGCAATCCTTTTGTTCCTTGCTTTGCAGATGCAGTACTCCAGGGTATGCCTCCATCTTCACATGGCATTCTGTCTGTCTCTTCATTTGGCCATCTTCTTATAAGGATACTGGTCATATTGAAGTAGGGGTCCATTCTACTCCAGCATAACCTCATCTTACCCAGCTACATCTGCAATGACCCTGTTTCCAAATATGGTCACCTTCTGAGGAATGGGGGGGGGGGGCGGCTAAGACCTCACCATATCCTTTAGGGGGATACAATTCAACCCATAGCAATAGCCGCGCTCTATGATTCCCTAAGAGCAAACCTATGCTCTTGAATCCTCCCTAACATTCCCATATACTATGTTTCTTCCCATTCTGTCCCTTTGCCCATGACCCTCCTACTTGTGCTCCTTCCTACTCTCCTTCATCTATATCAAGATCAAACGCGGCAAAAGGCCAGGCAGTTCATCAGAGTGAGTAACATAAACCAGGTGGTAAATGACAGCTGGTACTTTGCTTTAGTGTCTGGGAGACAATGATTAGTGGGGACTGAGTATCTGAAAATCTTATACTGAGTCTAAAGGAGGGAACTGCTACTCAATTCCTGCTAATTGTACCAGGCAGCCACATGGGTCCTGTTTGGCCACATCTGATTTTCCAAGAGATGCTAAAAACCAAGACTTTTGAGTGAGTGGATGTGAAAGAAATTTTCTGATTTTAAAATGTTGGCCACTAGTTCAAGTAAAAACAAACAGCATGAGTCAAGAAAATTTGTCTAGAGGGAACTCCCTGATGGTCCAGTGGTTAGGACTTGGCACTTCCACTGCTGTGGCTGGAATTCAATCCCTGGTCAGAAACCAAGATCCCCACAAGCTGCAGGGTGAGGCCAGAAAAAAAAAAAAAAAGTTTCTACAGAGTAATCTGGCCCAGGGGCCAAACTTTTACTATCTCTGACTTACACAAATACCTTCCACTGTTTCAGGCTCACCTTAGTACCTTCTACTATTTCAATCCTTATTATTATTATTTCAATCCTTTAAATTCATATTCATGCATTAGATGATACTACACAAGACAAGAGTCCCTGCCTAGGGGCCTGGAAGACTTAGACACGAAACCAGGTATTAAGTGCTTGTGAAACAGACCCTTGTTTAACTAAACAAGCTAAAAAAGATGAACAGTTTAAAGTGGGAGATGGCAATCCTGGGAGGCTTCCCAAAGAAAATGACTTTTGAAGCTATACCTAAAAAATATACAGACCTTCACAAAGAAGAGACCAGCCCAAGTCCCTCCCTCTCTGAGCTCCAACAGCACGAATATTTTGGATCAGGTATTAGAACGTGTCTGAACCATACAGTTCATTCCTGTGGTTCAGTCTAGTCTTCCCAACGGGGCTGTCCGTTACTCCTGGAGAGTAGAAACCAGATCTTGTATTTGAAGATGTACTTGTACATCTACAAACGCGCTTGGCACAGCACTGGACAAGGAATAAGGTCAGTTCATGCCTGGGGGTTGATTCTGGGCCTGGGAGAGATGTGGTTTGCAGAACTCACAGGAGGGAACTGGAACAGAAAGTAAAAGGAGGACGCGGCGGAGGACGGGAGCTGGAGATGGGCAGGGAGTGCCGAGACCAAAATGAGGGCCAAGGGCTTAGAAGGCCTGACCGCGCGCATCGGGCGCCTAGGTCCTGGAAGCCCCAGACTCTCCCTTTTTGGAGAAATAGAGAGTTCAGCGCCCTCCTCCGAAGATCTGCTCCCCAACTCTCTTCCTGGGGCCCCCAGTTGTGCGATCGCGGCGTGGTCTCACCTCCAGGCCACCCCTAGCCTCTCGCTTGACCGGGGTCCCCTCCACGGCCACCAGTGCTCAGCCCGCATTTCTCCCTTGGGCGCGGGGCCACCACCCCGGACACCGCGCGAGCGGTGGCCGATCACTTCTGGCGTGCTCTGGCAGGCTGCCTTTCACTTTCCCGCCGCCGACCCGGCTGTGCCGGCCAATCCGCGGGCGCGCCCACAGGCCACCTCCCACCGGCTCTGGGGTCTCCCCTGCGCAGGCTCGGTGTCGTCCGCTCGGTCTCGCGCGAGCAGAGTCCTGAGGGTCCTGCGCCGAGCAGGTTGGTGCACCTGCTGGCGCCGCGTTACACGAGCGAGGCCACCACCGAGACGCAAGTCCTCCGGGGGTCCTAGACTTGCCCACGGCCTGCCTTCGGCCTGTCGGTCTGGGTGGGCGATCTCATCAGATAACCACACTTTTGTTCTAATTTTTTATCTTTTTCTCCCTGCGTGCCTTTGTGGTCCGATTCATTGATGCCTTCTGTTTGCATTGCCCTGTCAAAGGCTTGGCAGAAGAAAAGAAAAAAGCCTTGGCAGTACGGAGATTTAAAAAAAGGTTAGCGAAATGTTTAACAGGTAGAGTTCTGAGTGAGAAAGATAATTAGAAAATCAGGGAGAATCGTTGACTCACCACTTATGAGTGTTTGACTTTGGGCAAATTACCTAACCTCTCTGAGCCCAATTTAATGGATTACCCTCCTTTTCCTCACTGATTTTAAATACTGTCTTTATCATTAACTAAATTCACATATGTACTTGGTTATGTATTTTAAGTACTTTCTATTTGTTACCTGTTTCTATCTGCTTTGATAATAAACTGTTAGAGTGAGCTTTTAACTACGTTTTAAAATCTGGTGGGCTAGTCTTCTACTCTTATTTTTTTTAATAAAAGTTGTAAACATGAATGTTTCCAGCGACTGAACAGAACTTAAGTGCTAGCCATTGAGGATATAAAAGTGAACAAAAACAGGTGTTGAAAAGGGCCATGGATGTTTGTGTTTTCTTTACAAGGAGCAAATATTTTGGGGGCAGTTACTATGACTGCTGTTTTTTTTTTTCTTCTGCGTGAGGTTTGAGGAATTTCTCACCATGTAAATCAGTTCAGTTCAATCTCTCAGTCGTGTCCAACTCTTTGCGACCCCATAAACTGCAGCATGCCAGGCCTCCCTGTCCATCACCAACCCCCAAAGTTTACCCAAACTCATGTCCATTGAGTCGGTGGTGCCATCCAACCATCTCATCCTCTGTCATTCCCTTCTCCTCCTGCCCTCAATCTTTCCCAACATCAGGGTCTTTTCAAATGAGTCAGCTCTTCACATCAGGTGGCCAAAATATTGGCATTTCAGCTTCAACATCAGTCCTTCCAATGAACACCCAGGACTGATCTCCTTTAGGATGGTCTGGTTGGATCTCCTTGCAGTCCAAGGGACTGTCAACAGTCTTCTCCAACACCACAGTTCAGAAGCATCAATTCTTCGGTGCTCAGCTTTCTTTATAGTCCAACTCTCACATCCATACATGACTACTGGAAAAAACCATAGCCTTGACTAGATGGACCTTTGTTGACAAAGTAATGTTGCTGCTTCTTAATCTGCTGTCTAGGTTAGTTATAACTTTCCTTTCAAGGAATAAGCGTCTTTTAATTTCATGGCTGCGTCACCATCTGCAATGATTTTGGAACCCCCCAAAATTAAGTCTGTCCCTGTTTGCATAGTTTCCCCATATATTTGCCATGAAGTGGTGGGACCGGATGCCATGATCTTCATTTTCTGAATGTTGAGCTTTAAGCCAACTTTTTCACTCTCCTGTTTCACTTTCATCAAGAGGCTTTTCAGTTCTTCTTCACTTTCTGCCATAAGGGTGGTGTCATTTGCATATCTGAGGTTATTGATATTTTTCCTGGTAATCTTGATTCCAGCTTGGGCTTCCTCCAGCCCAGCGTTTCTCATGATGTACTCTGCATATAAGTTAAATAAGCAGGCTGACAATATACAGCCTTGACGTATTCCTTTTCCTATTTGGAACCAGTCTGTTGTTCCATGTCCAGTTCTAGCTGTTGCTTCCTGACCTGCATACAGGTTTCTCAAGAGGCAGGTCAGGTGGTCTGGTATTCCCATCTCTTTCAGAATTTTCCACAGTTTATTGTGATCCACACAGTCAGAAACCAAGTAGAAGCAAGATAAGAGGAGAGAAAGGAAAATATCTTTAAATTAAGACAATAATCTGTTAATTTGTTTTAACCATTGATTTTGCTGTTTGGTCTCAGAAAAATGTTAACAAATTTACCTAAGTTATATTAAGAAAATCCTCCGATGTACATGCCATAATTTGTATGTAACAAAGAGTTCTACATTAATTATCTAGTTTATAAAAAGGTCTTTAAGTAAATTTTTTAGTTTTATGTTTGAATTATCAAATACTTCCAAACAAAATCTGGGCAAAATATTATTTTTTTTCTTAACAGCAAGGGCCATTTTACCCATAACATGTGGACTTCTTAATACACCAGTAGATGGCAGTAGTCTTTAGCCCATGGTTGTTAACAACTCCGACACCTTCAGCTCAGTTCAGTTCAGTCGCTCAGTTGTGTCCGACTCTGGGACTCCATGGATTACAGCACGCCAGGCTTCCCTGTCTATCACAAACTCCTAGAGCTTGCTGAAACTCATGGCCATCAAGTCGGTGATGCCATCCAACCATCTCATCCTCTGTCATCCCCATCTCCTCCTGCTTTCAATCTTGCCCAGCATCAGGGTCTTTTCCAATGAGCTGGTTTTTTGCATCAATCAGGTGGCCAAAGTATTGGAGTTACAGCTGCAGCATCAGTCCTTCCAATGAATATTCAGGACTGATTTCCTTTAGGATTTGATCTTGCAGTCCAAGGGACTGTCAAGAGTCTTCTCCAACACCACAGTTCAAAAGCATCAATTCTTTGGCTCAACTTTCTTCATGGTCCAACTCTCACATCCATACATGATTACTGAAAAAAACTATAACTTTGACTAGATGGGCTTTTGTAGGTAAAGTAATGTCTCTGATTTTTAATATGCTGTCTAGGTTTGTCATAGCTTTTCTTCCAAGGAGCAAGCGTCTTTTAATTTCATGGCTGTGTCACCATCTGCAGTGATTTTGGAGCTCAGAAAAATAAAGTCTGTCCCTGTTTGCATTGTTTCCCCATCTATTTGCCATGAAGTGATGGGACCGGATGCCATGATCTTCATTTTNAAGAACTCTTTGCCTTAACCTTAGGTCCCAAAACTTTTCTCTCATTTTTTTTCTTTAAAAGTTTTGTAGTTTTATGTCTTACATTTAAATCTACAATCCATTTTTGAGTTGCTTTTTGTATAAATTGTGGGTTTAGCATAGATTTTTTTTTTTTTACCAAGACATCCAATTGCTCCAACATCATTTGTTGAAAAGATTATCCTTCCTCGATTAAATTGCTTTTGTGCCTTTGTCAACATCAGTCAAGCATATTTGTGTGGCTCTATTTCTGGTTCTTTGTTCAGTTTTATTGATCTACATGTTTATCTCCATCAATACTGCACTGTCTTGATTACTGTAGCTACAGAGTGAGCCTTAAAATTTGATAATGTGATTGTTCCAACTTTATTCTTCATTTTCAAAATCACTTTAGGTCTTCTAGTTTGTTTGGATTTCCATATAAGTCTCAGAATAGAATTTTTATTTAAATTGGCTATTAAGATGCATTTAAAAGGGATATACACAAGTTGGATCTGTTATTTTTATTGAAATAAACATATAACTAGTACAATTTTTAAAAAATCATCTGGGACTTCCCTGGATGAGAACCCATCTGCCAATGTAGGGGACAAGGATTCAATCCCAGGTCTGGGAAGATTCACGTGACATGGGGCAACTAAGCCATGTGCTACAACTCCTGAAGCCTGCATGCCTAGAGCCTGCACTCCACAATAAGAGGAGGCCTCCAGAACAAGAAGCCTTCACACCACACCGAAGGGAAGCCCCCGCTTGATGCAACTAGAGAAAGCCGTTGCTCAGCAACAAAAACCCAGTGCAACCAAAACCAAATAAATAAAAATCAGCTGGAGGCCATGTGAAATGATCTCACAAGCCACTCGATGGGCCCAGACCCTTCCCTCCTGGCACCCGTGTATTGGGAAAGGGGCTCCCTGTGGAATGCTGGTGGTGCTCCCTGGGAAAATGCACAAGACCCTGCTCCCTCATCCGGGGCTGGCTCAGCGGTGGCTGACCTCACAGTCATCACCTATAGGATGGCTTGAAGCCTACGAATTGGCCCAGAAGTTAGGCTCTGCCCAACTGTAAGGTCCTTTATGGACCAAGCGAGGCCACTGGATACTCCTGGGCAAATGCGAGTGTTGGGTGAAGGGGGCTGGTGGTGGGAACAGGGTGGCAGCCGTAGGGGAGAGGACACAGGAGGGAGCGAGACACTCAGGAAGCAGCAGCCGCTCCTGTGAAGAGTAGCTGATTCCCCAGTGGGACACGCCTGAGCCGGGAGCCCTGGACCTCCTCTGGCCTGTCCTCACAGGGGAGGGGCGGAGCTAGACCACCAGGCACACTGTAAAATCCATTAAACCGAACCACACTAGGTTCTGTTCCCCCCCCTGCCCCCAGCATTTTATTTTGTATTGGAGTATAGTCAATTAACAATATGATAATTTCAGGTGGACAGCAAAGGGACTCAGTCACACATATACATATCCATTCTCCCCCAAACTCCCCTCCCATCCAGGCTGCCACATGACATTGAGCAGGTTTCCTCGTGCTATATGGTAGGTCCTTATTGGTTATCCATTTCAAATATACCAGTGTGTACGTGTCCATCTCAAACTACCTAGCTACGCACCCCAGGTAAACAAAAACAAAGATTAGATTTTTGTTTATCCATCACCATTTTGCTCCTAGTGTCAAAGTGCTGGTACTGGGAAGTTCTCAGATACGTGGCCGTTGCCTGTCATGGTTAGTGAATGGGTAAGTGGTGGGGGTGGAGAAGGAAATGGCAGTCCATTCCGGTATTCTTGCCTGGAAAATTCCATGGCCAGAGGCGCCTCTTGGGCTACAGTCCATGGGTCACAAAGAGTCAAACACAACTGAGCGCACACACACACACACACACACACACACACCCTTTGTAGTCCCCTGCAGAGGGACAGATATATAAGTTCCATTTTCTTATCATAACAAAAAAATCTAGAAAGAACATTTTTATATATGTTCTTGAGCTTCTCTTGGGCAGTGATTCTCAAAGTGTGGTCTGAGTCATGAGAACAAAACTATCTTTATAAATAATATAAGGATGTTATTTGCCCTTTCTCTCTCATGAATGTACAATGGAGCCTTCCAGAAGCTACATGATGTTGATTTACAACACAAATAAGATATAAGGATCTGGATATTTTTCAATAAGCTAGACAAAGAGATTCACAAAAATATAACAATGCCAAGAACTTCTCACTGATTTTTATTTTTTGACTTGGGAAAATGTGATTATTTTAACTAAATTTTATTTACATTACTATGAATTAGTCATTATTTTAAATGAATAAATCAATATCTTAAGTCTTTCTCACTTTTACTTTCCATAAGGTAAATATCAATAGGTATCTTCTGCATAAACGAAATCTCTTTGGTGTCCTCAGTCATTTTAAAGAGTATGATGGAGATCTGGTGCCAAAAATTTCAAAAGTCACTGTTGTAAGGTATGTATTCTGCAGTCGGGTTGCTGGGTCATATTCAGTTTTGCTATGTGTGTGTGTTCAGTTGCTTAATAGTGTCTGACTCTTTGTGACCCCAAGGACTGTAGCCCACCAGGCTCCTCTGTCCGTGGGATTTTCCAGGCAAAAGTACTGGAGCGCGTTGCCATTTCCTACTCCAGGGGATCTTTCCAACCAGGGATCAAACCTGCATCTCCTGTGTCTACTGCACTGGCAAGCAGATTCTTTTCCACTATCTAGATGTTGCCAAACTGTTCTCCATAGTGGCTAAAGCTCACATTTTTAAAAAAAATCTGTATACAGTTGTTTTTGTTTTCAGGTAAATTTGAAACTGTAAAGAATTATAGAATTGCGATTAAAGTAGGTTAATGATGCAATAGAGATTTGATATATGAAATATTGAATATCTTTTCTAAACAACTGTGAGAAATTCAGAGTACTTTTATTTTTAGAGTACTTTAGAGGAAGAAGTTTTTCCTGGCCACTGAGAATAGCATTGTAGAGTGTAAACATTAAATGTATCAGATTTATTTTTGTTTGGTGCCTCATGGGAGGTAGATGTGTACAAGTTATGCAAATCAACTTTTTTTTTAATCATCAGGGGAATTTCATTTTTCTTAAATTCTACCTTCTGCTATTTTGGTTAAAACCTAAGACATGTTCCACTGACCCTCAATTTGTTTAAAAAAAAATGCTGAAGCATCTAATATTAGAAAAGTAATAATTCAGAACCTGTTAGTTCATAGGTCACTTTGTGAAAGTTTATTTTAAGTAATTCAGCTGCGATTTTAAGCTTGTTTGATTGTGGAATATTTAAATTTTGCAAGTCTAGTTGATTTAATACTTTGCATTAAATTTTGGCAATGAGATGTGAGTAAATATATAAACTTTTACAGTTGGAGGACCAAGATGCAGCAATATTAATTCGCTGTTTCTTACAGTGGTTTTTCAGATGTGATTTGCACATTCTCATGGTGGTTTAGTTGCTAAGTCGTGTCTGACTCTTTGCAACCCCATGGACTGTAGCCCGCCAGGGTCCTCTGTCCATGGGATTCTCCAGGCAAGAATACTGGAGTGGTTTGCCATTTCCTTCCTCAGGGGATCTTCCCACCCCAGGGATCAAACCCTGGTCTCCTGCATTGCAGGCAGATTCTTTACCAGCTTAGCTACGAGGAAGCACTTTGCACACTCTACTGTAGTAATAAAATGCAATGTGACCACAGTCAGCTGTTACCTGTCTATTTACGGTGGAGGGTTTTCAGCAACCAAGAGTTAATCTAGGTGGGATTTCATTCTGCTGTGTGGCCGTGACAAAGCATGCAGAGAAGGTGGTTGGGCTAGGTTAGAAACTGATGCCTACAATTCAGGAGACATGTTTGAGCAATCACAACACTGTTGATGCAAAGCACATCACAAGAACCAATGGAAACTGTTTTTTTTGTCTGTTGTTAGGAGATTATCCTTTTCTTGGGCTTCAAAATCACTACAGATGGTGACTGCAGCCATGAAATTAACAAACACTTGCTCCTTGGAAGAAAAGCTATGACCAACCTAGACAGCTTGTTAAAAAGCAGGGATATTGCTGATAAAGGTCTGTATAGTCAAAGCTATGGTTTTTCCAGTAATCATGTGTGGATGTGAGAGTTGGACCATAAAGAAGGCTGAGTGCCAAAGATTTGATGCTTTTGAACTGTGATGTTGGAGAAGACTCTTGAGAGTCCCTTGGACAGCAAGGAGATCAAACCAGTCAATCCTAAAGGAAATCCATCCTGAATATTCATTGGAAAGACCTAATGTGAAGAGCTGACTCATTAGAAAAGACCCTGATGCTGGAAAAGATTGAAGGCAGGAGAAGGGGATTTCAGAGGATGAGATGGTTGGATGGCTTGATGAACTGTTGATGTCTGCCCTCAACAGAGTGTTAAAAAAATCTCTTTAAATGAATGCATGAATGTGCGACCCTCCCTAGGTCTCATTTTCTTCTATCAGAAAAATGGCTGAACTAGACGAAGTCAGGCCATCACTGACTTGATGGACATAAGTTTGAGCAAGCTCCAGGAGATGGTGAAGGGCAGGGAAGCCTGGCGTGCTGAAGTCCATGGGGTTGCAAAGAGTTGGATACAACTGAGCGACTGAACAACAACAAAGGAAATTATCTGGCTACTAGTGGGGCTACCTGAGGGAACTGTGTCTTCAGGTGAGAAGACTTCAATCTTCAGTCTATATTGTGTCAGTTGCCAGACTCCCAGCAGGCAATGGTCTGTAGAGTTGTTGATCCATGCATGAATATGTTTGAAGGTGTAATTCTATAAGGCGGGTCCTTTTGAGGGGAAGATAAACTAAACCTGCTGGTTTTGGCTTTTAGGATTACTGACTTTATCTGAATCACCTCAAGCAGTAAAGAACTTAGAATTCGTCTAGTTCAGCCATTTTTCTGATAGAAGAAAATGAGACCTAGGGAGGGTCGCACATTCATGCATTCGTTTGAAAGAAGTTTTTTTAAACACTCTGTTGAGGGCAGACATCATGAATAAGTAGGCTGAATGTATGGTTTATCATCCAAACCAGGACACTTTTGAGAGTTAAACAGAGTGCTGTTAATAATTATGCCAAGGCATTAAAGCCAAAATTCTCCTGGGCAAAAATGAATTTAGAGTCACTCTAAAATAATCCAAACCCTCAAGGAGCCCAATATCTGATGGGAAAGAGGTGTAACCATGAGATGGAGATAGTTATGCATTATGATAAGTATAAGAGAAATACTGGAGGAGGGTGAGTAAAGCCCTCTCGGAAAAAGCAACACCCCAGCTGGGTGCTGAGGAATGAGTCACAGTTTATCCGGTGGAGAAGGAGGAAGGGGTGTTCCCAGCAGAAGGAAGAGACTATGCAAAGCCTTAGCACTGTTTCATTCCTTTGGGAGTGCTGCAAGCAGTTTCCTGTGGTCAGGAGGCATGGTGGGAGGGCAGGAAGTGCTGAAATGAAGCAGGTAGGGACCAGTTATCAGGGCATTACATGGTGTACAAAGGAGTGTGGATTTTAATTGTAGGCACAAGGGCACCATGGAGGGGTTTTAAGCAGAGCCATGATCTAATCATATTTGTGTTTTAGAAAGTTTACTCTGACAGCAAGTGGGAGATGCATTGGGAGAGGAGAGAATAGTCAGGAGGCTTTTGCATTAAGCCAGATGAATGATGGCAAGACCTAGATTAGGAAGCAATGATGAGGATAAGCCTTAATTGGCAGAGTCAAAGACTTTTAAAGAATATTGGCTCAAGTAACTAAAAACTCCAGAGGGTATGCCAGGTTTCAAGCATGGCTGCTTACAGGAGCTCAAACAACAATGCCATGAGCATCTGGACTCTCTTCTTAGCTCAGCATCCTTTATGATGGGTTCTCTCTTGAGAACTTATATCCCCTCAGCTTCAGATCCAGTGAGAGAGGACACCTGCCTTGGTACTCAATGCATCAACCAATCAGTCACTGGAGCCAAGGGAATGAGAGCCTCTGATTGCCCAGACTGGGTCTCATGCTCTAGCCCATGTTAGGGATGAGACTCTGCACAAACTGCACCAACAGAGAGAAGAAAAATAAGTGGATCCAATGGGAAAATCAGGAGCTTTTTCTGGAAAGAGTGGAGTACGCATTGGGGAGGTGAAGAACACCTACCAGGGAGACAGAGCTGGACTGACCCCCAGGAAATTGCTCTGACCTCAGTCCATTGGCCACACAGCAAGGTTGGGAAAAGGTCATCCTTAGTCAGGAGGGTGTCATCCTCTTTCTCTTAATTTCTATGGAGGAGGAGGAGAAGAGAGGGACTAATTTGACTGAACTGACTCTGAGATTTGCTGAGAATAGGGATGAAGTTATTTTATCTCAAAAGGGAGAGATGAGAGGGAATTCCCTGGCAGTCCAGTGGTTCTTCAGGCTTCCAATGCAGGGGGCATGGGTTCCATCCCTGGTCAGAGAACTAAGATCTCACATGCCACATGTCATGGCAAAAAAAAAGAAATGGCTCCAACCCTCTCTCTGGCCTAAAGCGCAGGCTCTACAACCTTCTTGTCTTTGGAATTATTTCAACATAAATTGCAAACACTAGTGTGCCTCCCCTAACTACTTCAGTGTGCATATCATTATAGAGTTCAATATTTGTTTATAGTTTTTCTTTTTTTAAAAAAATTTTATTTATTTATTTTTGGTTGCACTGGGTCCTAATTGCTGCGTACAGGCTTTCTCTAATTGTGTCGAGCAGGGGCTACGCTCTAGTTGCAGTGCACGGGCTTCTCATTGTGGTGACTTCTCATTGTGGTGGCTTCTCATTGTGGTGACTTCTCATTGTGGTGGCTTCTCATTGCAGAGCGCAGGCTCTAGGGCACTCGGGCTTTAGTAGCTGTGGCACATGGGTTTGGTTTCCCTGCAATATATGGAATCTTCCCCAACTAGGGATCAAACCCATGTCCCCTGCATTGGCAGCCATATTCTTAACCACTGGACCATCAGGGAAGTCCCAGTTTTTCTTTTGAGGTAAAATTTACTCAGGTTGAAATGCAAAAATCTGAAGTGTGTATTCACTGAGTTTTGAGAAATGCATACACCTGTGTAAACCACACCTGGCGGACTTTCTATTACCATAGAATAAACAGAAAAGTCCATCACCTTCAGGTTTTATCTGAGGGCAGGGAAGAACGAGCCCATTAGAGTGGTTTTCAAAGAACAGCAAGGCCAAGGAGGTGGAAGGAAGAAGATGAAGCCCTTCTCTGATAACTGTCCCACTAGGCCTGCCTGTTCAAGGTTGTCATTACACTGCACAGTGATCCCTTAGAACATAATATAAAGTAGTGCTTACTCACTTTGGGCCCCTGTTAGTGATGATATTTTTGTTATTATCCTCATCTGATGGCAATTCTTCGTCAATTTTTAATTGATCAAAACCCTGTAAGAAAAGAAGGGTGAATGGTAGAATCTGGACATGACACCTTACCCTGAAC